GCTCTGGCCTCACTGGCTCTGGCCTCACTGGCTCTGGCCTCACTGGCTCTGGCCTCAAACCTGGCTCTTACTGGCCGATCTGTGACCCCGGTGGGGTTAACAGTAGCAGTCCTCCTGCTAGAATTCGCGAAATCTCGCTAAGAAATCACGGGCCGCGGGCTCTTCCCCAGCCGGCACTTTTTCGGTCTGGGGGTCTAGCCACGGAGATCACGGGTCGCGGGCTCTTCCCCAACCGGCATTTCTTCGGATTGGGGGTCTAGCCACGGCAAGGTCTAGGGACATAGCCTTTTGCTTTTCCCCCTTCTCCCCTGCGCTGACCTCGGATAATCTGGGCCGGTCTTTCCGGACTTTGGTGGTTCGGTGGTGCCTATATGCCGGCGTTTCTCTTCAAACGCACTCGGCATCTGGCATCCTCCGGATTGCGCCGCTGGGCAGCAGTATTCCCGTAGAGGGTAGGGTGGTATACACGACGTTGACACGTCGTTGACCAAGATAGACCGCGACAATAGCAGCCGTATCGTTTCGATGTCTGAGACAGGAGTTCGCTAGTTTGAGTAACGACACTCCTGCTCAGGGGCAACACCTTGTAGAGTATAACGATTCTTGAGAAAGTCACCAGTCGGTCAAGACGTGGTAGCCTCTTCAAATCTTCGCACGCAGCGCACACCCTATCAAAAGTATAGCAAGAACATTAATCCAATGCTGGGGAGAAGACAAACGAACCTGCACATGGGAAAACAAACACCACAAGGCGAGACTTCCACCATTCCCTTAGATCTCTGTTCAATTTCTCAATCACTCACACTTTTAGACAGATGTCTTCTTCCATTCCAGAATGCCTGAAAAGATGAAGTCCACTGCCCGGACCGAGGTATGATGGTCCCTTTGAAAAGGTGTCATGAGATAAAGCTCTTTGTGTGGTGTTCTCGTCATCGAGATGGTGGAAATCTTGCCTGTGGGTTGGAAGTTCGCAGCGAGGTTGCTTGAGAGGAGGATGACTTCTTTTTGAATTAGAGAACTCAAAATGCTGGCCTGGGTGTTCTCATGAAAACACCGTTCCAGGCCTGGAGTGTCGGAGTTGTCAAGGGATAATCAACCGCATCGGGGAGTTGGTTGGGTGTTGCGCGCCCGCGGGCAGAGAAAGTCATCGCGGGAGCACGTGATCTACGTCAGATTTGCGGCGAGTGGTTTCTCCACTCGAGCTTCAAGTTTGCCTTGGAACTACGTAACGCTTCGCAAAGGGGACCTGTGTCGTTGAAATCTGGTGTATCTGGGTTAGTGTGTCATTCCATCTCTACTTACGGACAAACCCGAAACTTGTCCAATGCGATCTTGATCTGATGCGACGGACCTTTTTCTTTTCTGACCCTGCTATAGTTTTGCGACACTAGTCGGCGCATACCTATACCTACCCACCTACACGAGAAACTCCGAGACCAACCTATAGAAGTACAATTGCAAAGATGTCATCCTGGCTTCAGCGCCAGGGTAGCTCCCATCAGTCGCAGCTGGCTGCTACGGCCGTACTCTCGGGCGCCGCAGTCGCTGGCGTCATTCTCGGCTACCAAGCGCTGCGGCGGAAAGAAGCCGTCCAGCAGCTCAAGGCCTCGATCCCAAGTATCGACGAACAACATCACGCAGAGAAGGTACATTCACTCCAAAGAATACTGCCGCATCCGAAGCTAATTGATTCTGGTCGTTCAAAAGCTCACAGATTATGGAGTCTCCGCCGCCACGCAACTGAGCAAAGAAGACGAGCGCAGCGCCGCTCTCGCCCGTCGAGCACAAGAAGGCGATTACGATGACGGTATGCCACGGGTCAACCCCTGACGGAGTCAAAAGCTTCCTCGTTGCTAACGAGCTTCCTCCGTGATTAGACCTCATCCTCGAACAACTCGCCCGGAACCGCGTCTTCCTGACGGACGAGGGCCTCGCGAAGCTCCGATCCTCCTACATCGTGGTCGTCGGCTGCGGCGGGGTGGGCTCGCACGCGGTGGCCGCGCTGGCGCGCTCGGGCGTGTCCAAGATCCGGCTGATCGACTTCGACCAGGTGACGCTCTCGTCGCTGAACCGGCACGCGCTGGCGACGCTGGCGGACGTGGGCACGCCCAAGGTGCACTGCATCCGCAAACGCCTGGAGCAGATCGTGCCGTGGGTGAAATTCGACTGCCGCAACGAGCTGTTCGGCGGGTCGGTGGCTGAGAAGCTGCTGGCGCCGTGGGCGCAGAACGACGGCGACAAGGGCCGCAAGCCGGACTTCGTGCTCGACTGCATCGACAACATCACCTCCAAGGTGGAGCTGCTGCACCACTGCCATACCCAGGGGATCCCCGTCATCTCCGCCATGGGCGCCGGCTGCAAGTCGGACCCGACCCGCGTGACGGTCGGGGATATCTCGCACAGCACGGACGACCCGCTGTCGCGCAGCACGCGCCGCCGCCTCAAGCTCCTCGGCGTGACGACCGGCATCCCCGTGGTCTTCTCCACCGAAAAGCCGGGCCCCGGGAAGGCGACCCTGCTGCCCCTGGCCGAGGAGGAGTTCTCCAAGGGCCAGGTGGGCGAGCTGAGCGTGCTACCGGACTTCCGCGCGCGCATCCTGCCCGTGCTGGGCACCATGCCCGCCGTCTTCGGCTACACCCTCGCCAACCACGTCATCTGCGCCATCGCCGGCTACCCGCAGGACTACAGTATCGGCGGCAAGGGCCGCGACAAGCTGTACGACGGCGTCCTGGCCGCTCTGCAGGGCACCCACGAGCGTCTGGCTCGCGCCGAGTACGGGCCCACCCTCGTCGGCCTGCGGTTGCCCGTCAGCAAGGATGATGTCGGCTACCTGGTCGACGAGATTTGGCGCGGCAAGAGCGCCGTCAGCGGTCTCCCCAGTCGCGTCTGCCTGGTGCCCTGGGAGCGGCCGCCGCGCGGCTTCGCCCCGGACCCGGAGTGGATGCAGCAGGGCCAGACCTATGTGCCTGTCGAGATGAAGAACCTGGTCTGCATGACCAAGGATGAGGCTACCCGCCATGAGAAGGAGGTTCTGCTCGGGGGCAAGACGCTCGAGGAGCTGTACGATGAAAAGACGATCGAGATGGTGCGGAAGCGCCAGAAGGAGATCGAGTTCTACGAACAATATCGGTGAGCTCGAGCTTTCATCATTTGGTCACGATTTTGATGCGCTTCCGCTCATGTGTATCACCACGAATCCTATTTTTGTATATGTGTGATAGATTAGATTCTGTATAGCGAGTGGGTATATTTTGATTGATTGTTACATGACACGAGACTGTTATGATCGCAAGTTAGGATCGGCAAGCAATGAGGTTCAATGTGGCCGCGGAGGATGATAAGTATCATCCGAGCCTGCCCTGTAGCCAAGTTCTGGTATTGCGCCACTCAATCTCCGTGTGTTTTACAAAGATGGTCGGAGGATTGCCACTGGCATAAGTGAAACATACCTCAAGGCTTCAATGCACGCTCCATCAGCTCGACTGCCTCCTCGAGGTGCTTCTCGTTATCAAAATCTACTATGAAATCCCATCTCGGCAACAAGCTCGATCTCAGACTCCGCAAGTCCAGCCTGGTTTCCTCTCCCAACCCGCGAAGAATTGGGCCGGTAGCCCGACTCGACTGGACGATACGCTGTGTGCGCGGGCGGCAAACCTGATTGTACGGGTGCAACGCAGTCCACGCCTCTGCGACGGTGCTTGCGCGGCCGAGCAACGGAAAAGGATCAGGCTGTCCTCATTTCGAGCGATCCCGACGGCCATGCCGGCCTCTCTGAAGGCCGAGGCTGATTCGAAGATGTGCACATTCAGGTGTTTATGGGGATAGAAGAGCATGAAGAAGCGATGCTCTCGCTAGGCCACCGCTAGAGATGGCAATCCGGATGGTAGAAGACATGACGATGAGTGGGGACTATGTGGTCCTTTGTTCGAGTGCGAGCGTGTGTGGCGGCGATTATGATGCTGACAACATATGAGGAAGCATGGTCGACCCCGCTTCCTTTCCCCAACATTTCAAGGACATCAAGACTGTCATCATTTAGCGCCGTAAGCTTTGATTGTCCCAGAACTTGTAAGACATTGACCTGTGATGCAGGTCAGTGCATTTGTGACTATCTCATCCCGGTGTGAGGCGCGGAGATACTCGATTGCAATTAATTGTCCGACTAGTCTGATCAATCAAGCATGTACTTCATACCACAATGGTCCTTCAATTGACTAGGTCAATGCGGAGTAATCCTGATCAAACGATGATTGAGAACAGGCACGGCAAAGATCAAGGCCGTTACAGTAGAAACCAACATCCGACACAGTTGGTTATGGCGGAGTAAGATATAGATAGCAGCGGACTAGCCGAAAGGGGTATAGACCGGGGTCTGGTCCCTTTGGCGGCAGGACCAAGGCACTAAGCCCCACCAGGAATAGCGGGCCACGGGACCCGCGGTCGAATCCCATTGAAGCAAGGCGTCGCCCGACACTTGTGAGTGTTTCCACCCATAAACCCGTACGTACCTTAACTCACTTCCCCAGCGAGGCTGACGATCCTCTCCGACCATCAAACCCATACCCACAACCCACCCCCCCTCCTCTCCCCTACAATCTACCTCTCTATGACCTCGTAAATTTCTGTCGCTTCTTCCCTACTACCCATTAGACCTACCTTCATGTGTTTCGTCATAGACATACCTTAAGATCCAGTGTCTAGAAGCCAGCCAACCACCCCCGACCGCCGCCCATCACATCACATCGCATCACCGACCGACCCGGCCATCACCAACCATGACATCCACCCATCACCATCCCCACTACCACCACCACGACACCGAAAGCCTCGACTACTCCTCCGACGGCTCCGACGATGTGCCCTTCCTCCAGAACGCGCTGAATCCCACCCGCCGGGTCAAACGATACACGCGCCCATTGATCGACTACGTGCGCAACGAATGGCAATCCAACACCACCAAGTACTCGTCGGGGTCGTCGCCCGACCGCTCCGACACGCCCCGATGGGTGCAGATGGTCCTGTCCATCGTCACGGCCCCGCGCTTCCGGCGCTATGCGATCATCTACACCACACTGTTTCTGTCCTGTCTGCTGGGCTGGGAGTTCGTGCTGTCGCCGCGGTTGCAGGAGCACTCGGAGTTGACCAAGTCGCTGGACCCGAACTCGAAGGAGACGGTGGGCGGGTGGTACGGGACCAATGCGCTCCCGAGCTTCGAGGGCGTCCTGCAGCTGAAGACGTTGGATTCGTCGCTGCTGCCGGCGAAGGAGGCGCCCAAGGCGGGTGCGGAGAGCACGAGACGGTTGATTGTGGTGGGGGACGTGCATGGGTGCCGGATGGAGTGTGCGTATTGTCCTTCCACAAAACCACTATTCCTGTTGTTTCGAACAGTGGGTGGCTAATCATCTCAATCTCACCGATTCAAACAGTGGAACGCCTCCTCGACGAAGTCACCTTCAATGACAAGACCGACCACCTCATCTTCACCGGCGACCTAATCAGCAAGGGCCCCGACAGTCCCGGCGTGGTCGACCTGGCCCGGAAACACGCCGCCTCCTGCGTGCGCGGCAACCACGAAGATCGCGTGCTGCTGGTGCGCCAAGAACTCGCGGAGATGGACGCCATGACGGACACGTCGGGCGACGAGTACATGGACGGGCTGTCGACGTCCGGAGCGCAAAAGGATCTCCAATTGGCCCGCAACCTCACCGACGAGCAGGCGGAGTGGCTCGACGCCTGCCCCGTGATCCTGAACGTCGGCCACATCCCCACGATGGGCCAGGTCGCCGTGGTGCATGGCGGACTGGTCCCCGGGGTGGATTACGACAAGCAGGATCCGTTCAGCGTGATGAACATGCTGACGATCGATCTGGACACCCATCTCCCGAGTTCCAGTCGCGACGGGAAGAAGTGGACCAAGGTATGTCCACACATAATCCTCTTTCCCACAACCACCCCCCCCCCCTCTCCCAAGCAGGTGTTGGCTGACCGTTTGAACGCAGTTCTTCAACAAACACCAATCCCTCACCTACAAATCCACCAAGCACGCCGACGCCCAGGCCACCGACTCCCAGGCCACGACCGTCATCTACGGCCACGACTCCAAGTCCTCCCTCAGCATCAACACCTACACCAAGGGTCTGGACTCGGGCTGCGTCAAGGGCGGGGAGCTGACCGCCTTGGTCATCGCCGACGGCGGCGACCAGAAGGTCATCCAGGTCCGGTGTAACAACTATCTGGAGAAGTAGACTGTTCTTGGTGCCAAGTGTCTGTTTCAGGGCGATGGTTTTTTTTTCTTCTGTTTCTATATATACATACATGATTCTTCTGCTGGTCTGGAGAGGATGTATCAATGGCTTTCTTTGTTTCTGGGTTGATTGGGTAACTTATGCATATGCATGTGCACGGCGTTCTTCTGAGGTGCGTGCGGTTTTAGATTAGTGGAATTAGCATCGTTGAGTTGAGTGGATGTATTGTATACATTTCCCTAACCATTGAGCCAGGGTATCAGACCACAGTCTTCTGGTGGGAGCACCTCTAAACTACAGTGTATACAAGCTAGGCTTGATCAACAACAGCCAACCCAGAGCAATTGAAATACGTACACAGTTTACAACTAGATTCCGGATGGCGAGCCAAAACAATCCAATAACAATCTAGATGACGGAAGTAGCTGTCAACCATCACCTCACCTCTCCCCACCATTATCACCTGCACCATCACCATCCGTATCTTTCTCAACCTCCTCCCACCCCACCCAGTCCCCCTCCCTCGTCCAAATCCCAGGCTTCGTGAAATCCTCATACCAGAACCCACCCAAGGCATTCAAGCGCACAAACGCGAATCGGAAATACTCATCCTCGCCGTCTGTCTGCCTCGTCCAATTGAACAATCCCTCCCCAGCAGCAGCAACAGCAGCAGCAGCGTCCGTGCCATTACCACCATCAACAACATCACCGGCACCGGGAACCAAATCCGACCAAAAGCCTCTATACCGCTCGACATCGTTAACCAAAACACTCACCCCATCTCCCGCCGACGGCCCGCGGGTGCCGTTCATCAGCGCGTCCCTGCCGACAGCGAAAGCGATGTGGCTGACGCCCAGCACAACCGGCGTCCCAACGACGGGCAGCACACTGCCCAGCTGGGCGCCCTCGAGCAGCGCCGCGCCGGTCTGCAGGATGGAATCGAAGCCCCAGCGCGCGATGCCGTTGACGAACAGCCCTACCAGCAGGCCCTGGTACACGAGACAGGGGCGGGTCTGCAGGGTGGTGCCCGGCAGGAACAGGAGGCTGAGGATGTAGTGGTGGATGCGAAGGTTCATGTGGGGCACGGAGAGGAGCAAGGCGATGCCGGCGACGAAGACACCATACACGGTCAGCATCTGCGGGAGGCGGCCTTCATTCCGGAAGGCCAGGGCCTGGGTGAGGACGATGAGCACCAGGCAGGCGACGATGATGAGCAGCGCGGGGATGGCGCCGGGCTGCTGCTGCAGGTCGTGCGGCGTGAGGCGCGAGATCGGGATCTTGTCGAAGGTGTCGGTGTTGAGGGCGCCGACCCAGCAGGGGCCCAGCCAGAGGACGGTCTGATCCCAGCGCGCGGGGAGGTTGTGGGCCAGTGTGCGCCGCACGGCGAAGTGGTAGATCGCCCAGCCGACGATGGCGCACGGGAGGAAGCGGCCCAGGGCTGTGGAGACGATCTCCAGGTAGTCGGGGGAGTACGGGGGGTCCGAGGAAAGGGCGACTTGGAAGTAGACGATGAAGTAGATGGAGGCGAAGAAGCCCGCGGAGGAGGTGGTGCAGAGGGAGAGGAGGGTAGTGGTGATGAGCGAGAAGGTGAAGAGCGGCCAGCGCTGGTCACGACAGCTGGTTCTTTCGGATGAGTCGGTGTTGAAGGTGAAGGAGAGCGGGAAGGAAGATGCGAAGCCGATGCTCGTGATCCCGTTCTTGGGGACGGATGGGTAGTCGTTATGCTCGCCTGTGCGACGGAGCACGCCGCAGCCGCCGGTTTGGCTGTTGATCAGGCCAGCGTGAAGTGCTGCAGGGCAGATGGCGGAGTCGCCGCGGTAGATGCCTATGTCTCCAAAGCTAGCTGGAGTGTCTGCAGTGGAATTGTCCTGGAGGGATCCTCCGATGACTAGCGGACGATAGTTGTACTCTGCAGGCCCGACAACATACGGCTCGAGCAGAATTGCATCCGCACAGCTGGCGGGGCAGCGAAAGGCAAAGCCACCATTATCAAACGGACGGCAGGCCTCTCCGTCGAGGCCACACTCTGTGGAATTATACCTGAGCAAGGGACTGTGAGACTGGGTTATGTGGAGGAAACGAGTAGGGGGACATACCATAGTCGTGCATGACACGATAGCTTGACTGGAGTTCCATATCCAGGAACCTCTTGCCCAGTAATCGAATAGTGCAGGATGGTCAAAAACACCACTCCCCACAGGGCGATACCAGCCACCAGAAGCGAGACTCTGGCGCGGGTGCTCGGAAGGAGACGCTCAATGTAACGACTCGGGGCCGTCTGCCAGCGGGCTAGCCATGGGGTAATTTTGTACTCGACAGGCGGGACTGGACCTTTGATCCAGGCACGAATCCCAGATAAGGAGCATGAGAATTTCCCGAGCTCTTGATGACGATTTTGACTTGGAATCGGGGATGAAGTTGGTAGCAGAGGCTCCCTCGTGGCGGCATCGGGCCGCAGGTCGGAGCTTTCCCGCCCAATCACAACCAGCTGGCTGCTGTCGGAGTCGTCATGATGCTCAGGCTCCAGCACCGTCAAACAATAGTCCTGCGAGCCCTTCTCAAATGAGGACGATCGCGAACTCGATCCTTTCCCTGATTGCGGTGCTCCTGCCATGGTTGATTCCCCATCCATGAATGAGATTTCGGGATCTGCGGAAGGGACCCAGACTCCGCAGGAATGTCCGCCACGCTAAAGTTAGTCATCACGAGCCATTCAATTGGACGTTTGCAACAATGTTATATTGAACCATCTATATATACCTTTCATTACTCAAGGCACGCATCACTCGCAGAGAGGAGTCCAAGGAGGTCAGCCCAGCGAAAATGCTCAGCACTCCGCGACTCGGTCGGTGAGGAGAATCCTGCTGACACTGAACCTCGGACCCCAGACCTCCTGGTACTTGGGTTCTACTAGTGTGAACAAGGTAATCAGGATCAAAATGTGAAACACCTCTCTGGGTGGACCCATCCCTACAGCATAAACATTCCTTGATTAGAGAAATATCATCATATTAGATAAATATCATAGCAAATCACAAAGCAAACAACGAAGGCCATCAGCATCCCTTCATCAAGCATTAGCACGCCAACCGGGTATCAGAATATTAGTTAAAAGAGATCTCATTAAGTCGTGTCGTGACAATGCGTGCCACATCATAATGGGTGAGCATCGATCGACGACATCTTGCATGATTGGTGCACGACAAGCATCAGAGGATTAGTCCATCTGGTCGCACAGATGAACAACGTGATCGACTAACTGTCCATCTAGACAGCAGAGCGGCCAAAGCGGCGACGGCTGCTGTTTCATGTCAGCAACGTGTTACACAAAATACACAAAAGGTCAGGGCACTTACTGTCGGGGAGCAGACGAGTCGCGGACACGGAAGGTAAACCAGATGCCCTGCAAGGCATGTCAGTATTAGACTATAGTCTTGAATTGGTGTCACTGAATCATACCAGGAGCGCCGAGGCCAGCCATACGATGGCAGAGATGAAACTGAACGCTTCGGCCGCCTTCCACCGGCCACACGAGTTGTTGTGGATGATGCCGCCCCAGTACCAGATAGATCCACAGTTCAGCTTGTGAATTGCATCGACCAGTATTCCGAACGCAGCGAACCAGGCGAAGGAGATGATGACATCGACTGTGTAACGTCAGTATAAGTGATACGCAACGCTAAGACTGAGGGACGCAAGGAGGCGGCACAACACGTACACGGCCACGAGAAGAAGCCCGATGAGAACGGGATCAGCCATATCAGGCCCAGCAGTATCGACAAGCCGGCTATGACTTCGGTATAGATCCATCTGGCGACCGGCCAGGCATCGCCATCATACTGGTGCAGGTAGTGTCCGATGATACCGGCAACCACCTATCAATCATGGCTCGTTAGCTTCTGTGGGGGAGGAGCATGCAGCCGATTAGTGATTGTACATACTGCAGCGCAAATGACTTCCACCACACGGAAGACTATGGAAATGAGACGTGAGATGACGGGCATGATGAGTCCCTGGTAACTCGGTCACAGTGGTGTGAGGTAGAGTGTGCTGCAGGTCGAGATTAGCGCGGGCGAAGACGCAGGCTTGTTGATTTGAGCAGTAGAGTGACTGTAAGATTAGAGTAGAGGAAGATAGAGGAAGTGAGTAACAAGCGAGTTATCCTGCAGCCAGAAGGAACGATGGAGGGAAGGAGAGCTGAAGCGGAAACGGGGGTTATATAGGTAAGTCTCAGACCCTCAATGAAGAGTCTATTCCCTTACACAGCACAACGACTCGAACGTCATCGTACGTAGCCAGTATTCAATTCAAGCAATTGCGAATGACATGACATCGTCTGCCCAAGCCCCAAGAAATAGGGCGGGAAGCAAAAAGGCGGGAAGGAAATTGATTGATCGCCCATCAGGTGAGTTTGAGTGGCTTGACTCCTAACCAATCCTCGGGAAAGCTACAAGGAGGGTACCTGGAAAGCTACCATTGACGATATGACCACCGATGTACCGCATGTACACTACTCTAATTCTCTGGCTACAGGGTATTATAATCCAGTACATTCGCACACGCCTTAGATTGCCAGGCAGCCGAGTTCACAATGCAGCAGCTTGATACATCATCATCACATTCACATTCCAAGCCACACCCTCTGCAGCAAGGGGATTCTGGCAGCCGAACAGAGCCCACTTAAGGCTGAAGGATTTCCCCACCTTGGATGCATGTTATCCCTTTCTCGTATCCACTTGACCCGAGGAAGGTCTGCGGTAGCGTTCCCACCTCTCGGGCGATCGTTGAAAAACTTTTTGAGTCTGAGTCGGTTATTTCCTATCACGTTCATGCAGACCAGCAGCGTAGCACCGATACAAACGTAATAATACTCGCAGTGATGAGGAAAAAGGGGGAACGGGTTGTGGCAGCACCGATGACGTCATGGGATAAGTCGTGGCAGCCCCGACTCGCATCTGCAAATGGTGTAACTTCTTAAAGCCTCCTATTAAGTGGTCCCTACCTGAAGAATCACCATTATCCTCTTCAACCTAAGTGCCTTGAGCCGACCATGGCTCCTGACAAGACTATCGCAGATCGTCGGTCAATAAAGCTCCCACCGCTCGAACTTTCCGCGTGTCAAGAACAATAACAACAAATTCACCAATTATCGGCTCCGGCTGATTTTTTTTTTTGGAAATTGGCCTATTAAACTATTGAACCTGCCTATGTTCAAGAAAGCAATTACAGTTCACGTGCCAGCCAGCAGTAACGTTAAATAACACATCGCAAAGCGGCCCCGCACTATGATTATACAACAATTGGATATCGTTTGCAACCAACACAGAACATAAAGAACATCCGCAGCCGAAGGGATTAATAATCGATAGTAAAAGTCGCATGAAACTCGGCTCTTTTTTGTTCGTCGTCAAGTCCGTTTCCGATCCTCCAGAAACCACTCCATGACCGTGCGGAAAACTCCCTTGGCACCGCTCTCGATCACATCTCCATGACACGGGATCAACCGATTGAAGTCCCACTTATCGATTCTCTGGATCGACTCCGTAAAGCCCTTACGATCCGAGCTGGACAGCGCATACCAGACAAATCTCTTCTGCCAGGTGGCAGGCGCGTTCGCGTTCAAGAGTGGACTGATGATTTTCGTCAAGAGGCCCGACGTGGCGCTCTCCCCGGTCTTCGAGTACTGTTCGCGCGCGGGGAGATTGAAGAGCAAGTCGGCCTCGATGAGGGTGCGGGAGGGCTTGTGGAAGAACACCAGCTCTCGCGACTGGTGGGCGTGGACATATTCGGTTTCGAACTCTGCATCGAACTCCTCCGAGATCTTCTGCGTTCCGACCAGTTCCTTGCGGAAGACATGACGGAAGGGGGTGGTGTCTTTGGTCTTGGGGTTGGATTGGCGCTTCTCCCAGAGTCCCTCGGGAGCGATGATCTCGGCATCTGGATAGGCCTCTTTCCACGCAGTCAGGTGGATATGGTGCTCGAGATCCAGAGCGGCGATGTACTTGACGTTGCCTCCGAGACTGTTGACCGTGTCGCGCACCTCTTGGGTCAGACTGACCGGAGAGAACACGGCCACAGAGCCGGAAGCCATCTTGACTATATTCCATTCATACAGAGTCAGCACGAGCACTGTGGCGGGCTCCAGGTCTCGAAGACTCTTGCAACATCATAAGAGGAATGCGCACCCAAGGTACCGCGGCCTCCGAACTTCAAGTGACCGAACCGCGCAAACGGCAAGCTCATAGTGATTACATTGGAAGTCACATTGCGAATGACCATCACATCGGCCGGATTCTTCGGGAAAAGAGGAGCCATGCTGCAAGCTTTCGGGAGCGTCTCTGGTGAAATGTAAAGTGCTTGTAAAATGGGTTGGAGAGGCGTAGATCTCAATCAGAAGTGGTTTGGCCGCGTCGACTGCCACCTCAAGGAGAATAAATAGAGTAAATCTTCAACGGGTCTTTCGCACGAGGGCACAGAAAAGGGGTGGGCAGATCGTGAAAAGGCTTGCAGGGAGGATGCCTGACAACGCAGCTGCTAAAACTAGAACAGCTTTTCCTTTGATGAAACGGAGGGTGCATGCTCGTGATTGCAGGTGCTGTGACGTCATTGCCAGCCCGGCCGCAATCGGCCAACTGCCACTGCCACTGCCACCATGGGCAGGGGCTAGACTGACTTAATTGCTAAACATTGACAGCTTGAATTATGGAATTCCAAATTATTTACAGCCAGCCTTAGTATATCGCTAACCTAAACATTGACAGCTATATTATTTGATTAGCAAGCTCCAACGGCTAGACTTATTCAATTACAAAACATCAACGGCTGGGCGTCGTCAATTAATAAGCATCACATCAAACAGCCGCCAACCACATGGCATGATACTCGTTTATTCGGCAAGGGCCTGGCTGTGTGCAGTTGTAGGTGGAGATGCTGCCATTAAGGTTGACCTAGCTGCATCCTGTCTCGCTTCTTTGGCGGGTTCTACATGGCATTCAGGGGCTCGACCTTTTGTATAATAAAGTCCTGCCATTTACAATGCTCCTTGCTATGGGTGGTATTGTGTCTGTAATCACTCAGATTCGTAAATACCTTTTTTAGATACGGATGGTCAATATCTACATCGAATAAAACCCCCGAGAATGTACAAAACATGACATCGAAATCGCGGCCAAATTTCCTTGTCAACAAATGGGTATCCTCACCTGCAAGAAACGCAACCATACGCCTGCTACATAGCTAAGAAAAGTCATCATCACAGGCCAGTCGGCCCCAGGCGTTCGAAACACGATCATCGCCAGGTCTGCGCCGTTGGCTGGGCTTCTTCCGCGCGATGAGGAATGATACATTCATCGATCCCATAGGCCTCGATCAGATCTTGCCAGGTTTCAAAGTCCAGAGTGAAGATAGCCTGGTGCTTCTGGACTCCCTTCTTCAGAGCTTCGCTGGGTGCATGAGGCTTCGCAGCGTCTAGAACATGCAAGGTCAATACCGGAATCTGCAGATGGATAGGGGAGGAACTTACGTAACGTGGGCAATCCTCTACTGTCCACCGAGATACCAATCAACCCATCACGAACCAGGAAACTCACGTAAAACAGGTTCTCCACGCTCTGTCCAAAGGACCTCGGGTTGATGCAGAAGCGGAACAGCGGGACACCACCATCATCAGCTACATTGTTCTCCGCCATCACTTTCTGCAGCTGCTCATCGGAAGGCTCCGCTTGGAGCGCCGACAGCTGCCTTTCGACAGTGTCTTGGCCATGGTTTTGTGTCTTCGCCAGTAGACCGTTGATACTGCCACACATGGTGGTCAAATTAGACGTTTCCTGCCGGTCAAGGTCTTTGTCTTGGAGATCCTGCGGCGCGACCGCCCGACTGGGGTCGATCCGCTCCCTGACCCTCCGAACGGCCTGCTGACGGGTTCGTTTCTGTACCGAGAGCGGGCCCAGAAGGAATCCAGGGACCGAGGGCCGGGCATTGCTGCAGAAGGACGCAGCCCGCCCCAGCCAGTCCCAGTTCAAGGCATCTCCATTATCTTCGCCGTCATCATCTGCTGGTCGGGCAGCGCGGCGACGTTGGGTGCTGCTGGGAACCGTGCTTTGAGAGTCTGCGGGGGCCTGGCGCATGAAAGTGATACACTTGGAGACAAATTCGTCGACGTCAATGCCTGCACTGGCGTCGCCCAGAACTAATTGTGCGGTCTTCTTGTATCCTAGGTCCGCCGCGCTGACCAATAGCCGAGAGTCGATGGTTGCATCCGAGGTTTGCTTGACGCCCTGAAACAACTCGTTGGCCTTTTCTATCGTGGACTTAATACCACTGTTTCCAGCCCGCATAAACTCACTGCGGGAATCTGCAGCGGGTATACGTTAGAGAAAAAGCAATTCCAAATTGATGATGGAGGGGTAGCCCACCGTTGAGGTCCCGCGTAAGGTCTCTCAGGCCCTTTCGGATTCTCCGTCGTTCGGCTTCATCTTGATCGGGGTCGTAATAGTCCTTGTCGCGGGCGGGCTGTGATCGCGATCCTTGAGACTGGCTTCCCTGTGAGTTGGTGGCCCGTGTGGACAGTCGTTGCCGCTTCCTCGAGGCGCTGCTGGGCATGGCTTGGATTTGAACACGCTTGCTGTTACCGGCTGATGTTGGATGATTTTCCTTGTCGGAGGATGGTCCAGGTGAAACTGCCTGAGCTGAGGTTCGGGTGGGAGAAGGACGTCGTGCCATCTCTTGGAGGGCAGAGACTATGCGACAAACGAGGCGCGCTGAGGGGAAGACAAAGAAACGCGAGCAGCCGCCAGACAGCCTACTGGGTAGTTGGTGGGAGGGGAGGATCAAGGCGCAGGAAGGAAACGAGGAACGAAAACAAAGGACTAAGGGTGTCTAGGTTTCAGTTGGCGCCAGGAGAGATCGTAGCACCGCCTTTCGTGCAAAGTCAACTATCCAGGCTTCGATAAACTTTTAGATGCAAATATTCGTTCTCAATAAACCTCCCATGAGCCTTATCTAAACTAATCCGTTGTGGTGCACGCGCCGAGCGCGTTAATCATGTGACTCCCGCGTCAGTCCCGGCAGCCCACAAGCAACTGTGGGCCGTCCCAGCCTATCATCGCCTCATCTGTTCCGAGCTGCGGGAATGATGAATGTCTCCAACAACTCAACTTCCCCCACCTATTATCATCGTGAGATAGTAACAAGCTCACCATGACGATTACTGGCGGGTGAATTGACTTGATACTGTCTGGCTTCTGAGTATCCGAACTCTCAGGATGGAGGCCTTTACCTTCGCCGTCTCCACCCAGGTGGACTTTCCCATCCACGTCAAGGTGTAAGTGGGCACTGCCTGTCCGATACCTGGCCGCTGTGATCCGCTAATAAGCTCCAACTTTCAAGTGGCTCTCTAGAGGGAAAGCAGAAGGAAATCCCCTTTTCCGTCCTCCTCCAACGGCCGGATCTCCGTCACCTTGGCTCCGCTCAAAACCCTCACTCGGATCTATTCGTCACCGTGCAATTATGGTCCGAATCCAAACCGCTGGGAGTACCTCTACAGACCCCATACAAGGCGTTCAAATCCGCGAGGTCATGGAACGAGTGGCTGCAGATGCCCGTCTCAATCAAAGATGCTCCTCTGAAGAGTCAGTTAGCTATCACGGTCTGGGACTTATCACCGTTCGGCGGCGAGGGAGCTCATGGCCATTACGTACCATTCGGTGGAACAACAATCCCACTCTTCGACGCGGACGGGAAGTTGAAGATGGGCAGGCAGAAATGCAAGATATACCGGCATCGAGCTGCGGATGGGTTCTCTGCGACCACCACCCCATCGACTCCACCACCCAAGCGTCGGAAAGCAAACGCCCCTGACCCACTGGGTCCGTCGTTGGAAGAAATGGAGCTGGAAAGAGTTGAGGTGCTTATTAAGAAGCATGAGATGGGAGAGCTGCCGCGTATTGACTGGATGGACCAGATGGTCTTCCGACAATTGGAGAGATTGAAGCTCAATGCTGAGGAGGCCGCGAGAAAACGGGCTATACGCATGAAGGCCATCAAACACAAAAGCTCCGACGGCCGGATAGAGGGTGGTGACGATTCCGACGAAGATAAGGTGGACGATGAGAACTTTACCCTCTACGTCGAATTTCCCCGATTCGACCATCCCATCGTTTGGGCTGACCACGAGTATCCCGCCCCGCCAATCTCGACATATCCCCAGAATGCGCCCATGAACACGAATACTCCGCTCAAGCCCCTTCCAGAAGTCCGATTTGGCCCCGGTATTGAGGGTGCCGATGGCAGTGGTGTGATCAGGATATACGACCCTGAAGTCGGACAGACAGGAAATCCATGTGAGGACAAGCACCGAAGACTGATTCGGAGCACCCGTACGGGCATTATGGATCGGGATTTGAAGCCAAACCCTAAGATTCGCGACGAACTCAATGTGATTCTATCATACGAGCCCACTCAGGATTTAACGGCAGAGGAGAAGGACCTTGTATGGCGTTTTAGATACTACTTGACGCGCGAGAAGAGGGCCCTCACCAAGTTTGTCAAGTCTGTAAACTGGCGCGATGTTGGTGAAGCACATCAGGCAGTGGAAATTCTGCCGAAATGGACGGAAATCGATGTGGACGACGCACTCGAACTACTAGGGCCGACTTTTGACAACGCCGCGGTCCGTTCATATGCGGTGGAGAGACTCCGCAAATCTGACGACGAGGAACTGCTACTCTATCTGCTGCAACTAGTGCAGGCACTCAAATACGAAGAAAATCCCGAGGGCGCCGCAGGGGACGCTGCTCATGACTCGTCGCTAGCTAATTTCCTCGTCACGCGTGCCGCAAACAACTTCAAACTAGGCAGCTATCTACACTGGTACCTGATGGTCGAATGCGACGACACTGGGCCGGGTACATTGTCCGCGCAACGCAGACTCTTCGCGAGGGTGGAATACTACTTCATGACCGAATTGGAGCAGATACAGCCGGAGCATCGCAAGACACTGCTACGGCAGGGCGAGCTCGTGGTCATACTCACCAAGATCGCGAAAGACGTCCGCTTCTCCCGCGATAACCGTATCCTCAAGATCGAGAAGCTAAAGAAATTCCTCAAAGACCCGAAACACGAACTGCTCCAGATCGATCCCCCATTGCCACTGCCCCTAGACCCGGAGATTATGGTGACCGGCTGCCACCCGGACGAAGCCAACGTCTTCAAATCCTCCCTCTCGCCGCTGCAGATTGTCTTCAAGACCGCGGACGGCCGCAAATACCCTATATTGTTCAAGGTCGGCGACGACCTCCGACAAGACCAGCTGGTCATCCAGATCATCATCCTCATGGACCGCCTCCTCCAGAAAGAGAACCTCGACCTCAAACTCACCCCCTACCGCATCCTAGCCACCAACGCCACCGCGGGCGCCGTGCAGTTCATCCCCTCGGCCTCCCTATCCGCCATCTCGGCCAAATACAAATCCGTGCTCGCCTACCTGAAGGAGAACAACCCGGACGACACCGAGCCCCTCGGCGTCCGCAAGGAGACCATGGACACCTACATCAAGTCCTGCGCGGGGTACTGCGTCATCACCTACCTCCTCGGCGTCGGCGACCGCCACCTGGAGAACCTGCTCCTCACCCCGGACGGCCACTTCTTCCACGCCGACTTCGGCTTCATCCTCGGCCGCGACCCCAAACCGTTCGCCCCGATGATGAAGCTCTGCAAGGAGATGGTCGAGGGCATGGGCGGCACCACCTCCCCCCTGTACCTCCAGTTCAAGCAGTACTGCTTCACCGCCTACACCACGCTCCGCAAGTCCGCCAACCTGATCCTGAACCTGTTCAGTCTGATGGTCGACGCCAACATCCCGGACATCCGCGTCGAGCCGGACAAGGCCGTCCTCAAGGTCAAGGAGCGTTTTCACCTGGAAATGACCGAGGAAGAGGCCATCCGGCACTTCGAGCAGCTCATCGGGGACAGCGTGAACGCCATCTTCGGGGTGGTCATCGATCGGTTGCATGAGTTTGTGCAGGGTTGGAGGGCTTGATTCGGCCCCTTTTTTATTGATGGATTCTGTTTATAGCGATGTTTGCAAATGTTCCGAGTCATTGGGCAATTCCTAGAATAGGCATGTAGGAGTCAGGCGCTCTCCAGATGGGACGGACGGGCGCAGATTTACATTTTTTCCCCTTGCTTTCCCTATCCTTCAAATGCCTCTACATAGACATGAAACAACGGGCGGTTAATACCCTATGTTCAGTTTCGCCTTTTCACGATTTTGATAGAGAGACAAGAATACTTACGGTCCTCCTGGAATCATAATCATATAGATAGACACAAGTCTATTCACCTGGACATTACTTTTTTTGCTGTATCGAATCCGAAATGACGTCGTAAAATATCACAACCATTAAGGTGCTCCCGCGCAAGAAAGTTTCTTCACCTAGAGCACGCTTCTAATATCTAGAAACCCCTAAATTTAACAGATCAACCCCGTCTCCGCTCGCCCTCCTCCTCATCCGGCCGCCGCCCCCAACCCTCGAGCTCAAGCCACTCCCGCCCTTCCTCATCGAGCTCCCGAGAATTTGATTCCTCGAGCTCCTCCTTCAAGTGCGACGACCGACTCCCCAGATCCCCGCCATCCTTGGCATACCTCCTCCCCTCCACAAACAGACCGCCACTGTCGGAACTCACCCCGGAAGACCCCTGGCCCGCCTCCGTCCCAGCAGGTATAATGGTCTCATCATCGGGTCCCGAAGGCTCTTGTCCCGGGGCCCCGCCCTTCCTCCCCGCTTGCTCTTGCGCTTCAGCTTCAGCATCTTCGTCGTCCTCCGGCGTCCCCTCCTTGCATGCCCACGCGTCCACGAAGCGAAGGACCTTGCGGGGCCACCATCGCTTCATGATCAGGAGGCGGAAGGGGACGAGGAGGACGATCAGCACGGGGAAGGCCGGGGCGCCGCGCGTGAGCGTGAGGATGAAGATGGCGACGGTGATGATGATTTGGAGGAGGGTATAGAGGTGGATGGGGATGTAGGAGGGGGTATTGAGGGCATCTTCTTCTTGAGTGGTTGGTTCAGGGTGATTGCTGGTCTGGGTGTTTGTGGTGGAAGCCGTTGTGGCGAGGGAGGCAGGGAGGGGGGGAAGTTCGGAGGGTGGGGTGAGGAGGTAGAATGTTCGATAGAGGATTGGACTAGTTAGTAGATTTAGTGGGTCAGCTAATAACAATTTCTAGGGGTTGAAATTGGGGTGAAGGGGAGAGTTGGTGTAGGCTTACTTCACTGAGAGACTTTGCTCGCCCATGAACATGAACAGACCGGCTAGAACGCTGGTCGGGGTCAAGCCAAGGACTTTCATGAAAGGTGGGCTGACGAAGAGGAGGATGGCGGCGGCGTGGAGAAAGGATGACCATCGCTGCTCATAGACGCGTTTGACCTCGTAGGTCTCAGTCTTCTCCTCGCCGTCGACGAGGATGGTGCGCTGCTCTTTCTCGGTATGCATGAGGGATTCGGAGTGGAGCGGCGCTTGCGGGAGGAGGCCGTTGGCTGGTGGAATCCCCAAAATCCCACAGAGAGCTGTGGTGGTACCAAGGAGGATAATGTCCCACGCGAAACCGCCGGGCTTGCGGGTTCCATAGCGGTCGATGGTGCAGATGATAGAACTGACTTCGTGGTCAAAGAAAAAGAGGATGGTGATGATGACTCCAGGGAGGATGGCGGCGAAGACCCATGTCACGGGTAGGTGCCAGAATTCGACGAAGAATTGATTGCGATCTGGAGACGTGGGCTTGAAGGAGGTGCTCACGGGAAGGGTCATCTTATCCAGATGAGCCAATTCGCCGATGTGGGGAAGTCCGATGAAGACAATGATGGAGATTGCAGCGGCATACTCGGTCAGGCCCATGCGGATGTATCGGTGAAACAAAGGACGCCAGCTCTCTGCGGTCGACAGAAAGATTGCCAACAGCATTGTTCCAACGGCACCAATGACGGCGTACAGGAAAGCTGCGAACGACAGACTGTCATGGGCTCGTTCCAGCTCCTGAATTGCTTTGTGGAAGTAGATAATGCTGTTGAGGAGGGAGAATATCTCCGTGGCGAATGTTGTGACATATCGCATTGTCCAGTCATGGGCGTTTATGATTGCCAGGACATAGTGCAGCCAGCCAGCATGTATTAGTGACCAGGCCATGAAAGGCAAGAAAGGTATCTGTTGGAATGCCATTAGTCCTTGATTTCACTCTTGCACTAGTGGGCTGCGTGGGCTGCGCACCTTGAAGACCTCATCGCAAAGTTTGTAAATATTCTCTGCGAGCACTGAAAAGGGCCCAGTGACCCCGAGGATGGTCAAGGGTTGGATGGAAAATCTATGAACAACTGTAAGCCAGCGCTCAACGTAGGCAATTAGAGGTATGAACACACAAAGAGAAGATTATGCTGCATAGGCCAGTACTGAACACCACCTCAATCGTTCCCCAATGCTGGCCAGTTAAGACGTACAGGTCGCTGGCAAAAGTGATCCCAGGAAGAAGGTTAGTGAAGAAGACATAGACGGCACTGGCGAATATCAGCTGGTTGAAGATCTTCCAATCTGAGACATATCGCCGACGCAGGTTCAATATATCCTGTTTGACTAAGCGGAAGGGACGCAAAGGACCACCAGCAGCCACAGACCCACGCAAGACCCGGATAGCTTTGGGAGTATGTTTTGATGGGGTGATTATGGAGTGCGCATCTTCATCGTGGCTATCATCGTCCTCATCCTCGTCCCGATCCCGTCGCAATTCGCGGCTGCGCCGACGCGGACTACGCTTGGGCGATCTCCGCTGCTTGCGGGACCTCAGTCCCAAGGACGAGACCCGAGTAGATGGTGGACGAAAGGCAGAGATCAGAGTCATTATGTGATCAATGACCTTGGGGTAGAAGTCTGTGGAGGGGTCCACGATAAGATGCGATTGTGGGGGAGATAATATGGCCCCGATTGTTGCCCGCCTTGGCCGGGCTTGGTAGATGACGTATCATATCCCCCCGGTAAATAGTACTCGTGGACGATAGACGGTACCAGAATGTGCTTGCACCACGGTTCTAATTTTGGCGCATTCCTGCTCGAAACCCGGGTCTAGCTTTCGACCAGGTCAAGATTGATATTTGCATCTGTTCTGCGGCGATGAGCAGTGGTCGGTCCAGACCCGTCTAGACGAATAGCCAAGTACCAAGAGGTCTTCAACTCATATGGTCTGATGCTGACAATCCCACAAACGGCTTCATTGGATGTATATGAGAAAGCGTGTGCCGCATGATGGAATGAGCTCCACTTGGATACCAGCCATGACTAGAACAAGCCATGAGCAGTTTGTCTCTCGCATCGCGAGGCCCGCTGATAATATCCCGTTATGGAAATCGTAACTATACCCATCCACACCGCCTCCCTGACCGCCCTCATCTCCGAACGAAATTGCCGCTCTTCCAAGAAAGCATTTGGAAAACAAGCATCGCAATTCAGTCCATAACCTTGACCTCACTCATGTCTTTCTGATCATGAGCAAGAACAGTTTCTATGTGAATCTACGCAGTGAAAAACTTAGCATCTACACCTTAATGGACATACGATAATGGCCGCCACATTTGTTCCGCGCCAGGTGTTCCCGAACTATGCGTCGATCCCCCGGTCGTATTTCTTGGGCCACCATAGGGCTGGCTTGAGGAAGATGCAAAATATGCTCTCGTCCATCGACTATGTCATCGAGTGCCGGGACTATCGGGTGCCAATCACCTCCATGAACCCAATGTTTGAGGAAGCGCTGGGGAAGACGAGACGACTGGTTGTGTATACTAAGAGAGATCTGGGTGCAGAATCTGGGTCGGGGGCGCAAAAAAAGGTTGGTGGCATAGCCCACAATTGCTCCCTTTCAGGCTACTACTTATGAGTGTGTGCCAAATGACTGATTGCAATGTGTCAAATTTCCAGGCGGAGAAAACCATCCGGACTTTCAACAAGAACGGGGATTCGCTCTTCGTCAGCTCATCGTCTCGGATGGACGTCGGCACCATCCTGAAACACCTGCGTGACGACTCAGGGATTCCGGAGAGACTCGTCGGCACTCGAGTGATGGTGGTCGGTATGCCCAACGTGGGCAAGTCGACGTTGATCAATAACCTGCGCAATCAGGGGGTGGGAAAGGCCAAGGCCGTACGGACTGGAGGCCAGCCGGGTATCACGCGCAAGATCGCCTCGCCCGTGAAGATCATCGAACGCGAGAATGGCTCTCATGTCTACGTCTTGGACACGCCGGGTGTCTTCATGCCGTACGTGCCGGATGCGGAGAACATGCTGAAATTGGCACTCTGCGGCTGCGTCAAGGACTCGGTCATCGCGCCCGTCACGCTGGCCGACTATCTATTGTACCATATCAACCGCAACGATGCGCAAGTCTATCAGCGGTGGTCATCTCCCACAAATGAGATCATGCCACTCCTGAATGACTTCGCCCGCCAGACAGGCCTTCTAGCCAAGGGCGGAATCCCCAACACGGAGCTTGCAGCCCTGCATTTCATCCAGAAATGGCGCGCTGGGGATCTGGGCAAGTTCATCCTCGATGACCTGCAGGCCGAGGAGCAACGGCTGTTGGAAGGTCGAGAGCGGGAGCCCATTATCAGTCGGACGCAGGCGCTGAAGGCTGACAAGCTGTCACGGAAGCAACCCAAACTGTAACTAATCACATCTCGCACATAGACTGATATAGCTCGCAACCAACCACCTGTTGTACAAAAGAACGAATCATGTTGGTATCATCAATATGCTTTTGCCTCCCTTAGGATGCATCGTAAACCTGCCAGCGGGTGGGGCAGCACCGCGTATGAAAACAACAAATGTCAAGCAAAAATATGTGAGAAGCGGCGAGAGAACACAACATATGGGTGAAAAAAAGCAACCAGAACGCCATAGAAACAAATATGACAGTAGAAGAGAAACACCCCGAGAAGACCCCAAGATGACATCACAAATGAGCAGGAATATAAGCCACAAACTCCAGAGCACACAGATATCAAATATCCCCACCCCATCCCCTCAGGAGATCTTATCCAGCAGTCGTCTCCTCCGTCGGTCGACCAGCTCCTCCTGCACCTCCTCCAGACTGGGCAGCCTCCACTCGACCCCGTCCCCAGCGTCGCCCGGCAACGGCTCCCACCCATCGTCCCCATCATCACCCTTCTTGCGCAGACGCTCCACGGCCTCCTTCTCCTTCTGCTTCTCATACGCCAGCAGCGAGCCATCCTCCTCATCCAACCCATACCCGAAATAATTGGCATCGACCTTCTTCGTCGCAATATCGCCGCCCCTCCCCTTAACCCCACCACCACCACCAGCAGTATCCGCATCATCCTCCTCGGCAGGCCGACCGCGCCGGGCCGCCGCCTCGAACATCTCCTTCACACCGGGCAGCTCCCTCGCCCGCCCGAAGTACCGATACCCTTTGCCGCCGCCGGGGATCTCGCGGCCGTCGTCGTCGAACACGCGGCCGGACCCCCGCATGTAGTTGGGCCCGCCCAGGTTGCGGATCTGCATCTCCCACGTCCACTTCTCCCGCATCAGCTTGTTGATCTCGTCGTTCAGGTCGCGGATCTGGTAGTCGCTCAGGCTGGGCTCCTGGATGCGCGACACCTTCCGCGAGATCTCCTTCAGCACCTGGCCGCGCCATTTCTCGCACATGGGGATCGAGTCGACCGAGGTGATGGCCTTGGGCCGCCGGGTGCGGCCGATGTCGATGATTCCGAGGTCCGCGGCCTGTTGGGCCCGGAACCGGAAGAGCATCGACTGAGCTTTTTCGCTGTTACGCGCCTATATGTTGCAGAACGGGGATGGGATTAGTTCCATCGTATAGCTGTGAAGGGGGAGGGGGCAGAAATAGGGGCATTGTAGTGGCTATTTCTTCCAAGGCAGCAAGAGCCCAACTTGTGGCGGGAATTGGAGCAAGGTAAAGGTGGGTTGGGTGGGCAATGAAGAGCTTGTTTGTTTCGGCGGGGAAGGCTATGCAGCCGGAGGGGTCTGTCTCGCACGAAAGCGAGTCAGGAAGTGATTCATCGATCGAGAACTTACCATCTTGAGAAGCGACGCGGGCGGATCCCGTTCGAGGTGGGCGCTCGAGACAGAGAGGTTGAGGTGCAGAAGCAGAGAGGCATGGAGTCTTAACGTCCCAAGCTGGAGTGGATTCGCCCGCCGCCCGCTCCAAGCGAGCGCCAAGCGTAGCCGCGCGGCTAGGAGAGCTCCGTCGGCTTGCAGCACCACGTTGGTTTGACCTTAATATCTAGCTGGCATAAGCCGCTGACCTTCTGTATGGTCCAAGTATAATCTAAGCTGGTCAAATGATCTATAACTCGAAATTCCTAATGGGCTTCTATGTACTAAGTATTGAGAACGACGTCACTTAAGTGACAGCGGTAGTGGCGGCTACTTAGTAGAGTACCCGCACCGGATATATACATGGGCCACCGTGTAGGGCGATCAGATGGAGCAGATGTCGAAGAACATACGTAAACGTGTGAGCAATACGCGGCATCTCAAGCTTCTATATGTTGTATTGGGACCCCAAGGCCATGTACAGTTACTGTGGTCTGTCTGGACGAATATAAAAGCAGTCGTTCAAGTATACAATCATGCGATAGGCATATTCCCATCAGAAGTCATCAAAAATTGCATCAGGGACCTGCGTAGCGGTTCCTATGAAGATCAATAAAGTGCGCAGACACATCATATCAAATACCATGTAAGACCAAATCCATACGCCCTAAATCCAATCACACTCCGTAGCCATGCAGGGCTTCAATCAAGTCATGTTCGTAAGTTGTCGCTCAGGCCCTGGATGAAGATTTAGCGCCCGAGTCTCGAATTAGTAGGCAGATGTGTAGTAGAGTCATTCTGCCAGGTCGTCATAGTCTTACAAGAAGCCTTTCGTGTTGCTGGGCATCCGTTGTGGTATGTCGCCGGAGTTGTACACGCTGCTGCCCCGTCTGCTGCCAGCATCACTCCATGCGCCGATCCGTCCGATTGCGCTGCCCCGTTCAACACGGAGGCCCCTCCAGCCCTCCAATTCTCGCTCCACCCGGAGTAGCTTCTCTCGTTCTTCCCGCAGTTCTCGTTCCGCTCGACGCGCCTGAAGCTGTGCCTCGGATTCACTTTGCTGAAGCTCCTCGATGTCGCGCAGGAGTCGGTCGATCTTTGCGCGTGTCTTGGTGACGTCATCGTTCAGCTGTGCATTCATCTTATCACGTCGCTCAATCTGGGATTGGAGATCCTTCACTGTTCGGTCAACGTTACGCAACGAGCGTTGTTCAGAGCTTTGCTTAGACTCCTGCTCCTCAAGGTGTGTTTCCAGCTAGTTATCGGGATTGGTTAGTGATTCAAAGGGTCGTACCCTTGTATGCGGAAGAGATAGACTAACCTCCTTGATTCTCTTGTGCAGGAAGCGTACGTCCTGGCTACCAGAAGAGTAGCTCTTAGTTTCCAAGTCGACGCAACGCAGCTGTGATTCCTTCAATTGCTTCTCGAGCGCAGCCTTGTCTTTGAAGAGTTGGGCATTGTTCTCTCTCTCAGCAGTAACTTCCTTTTGCATTTCCATCACCAGAGCCTCCGCGCGCCGCATCTTGCCGACAGCAGCAGCGGAAACATCTTCTTGTTGAGCAAGTTTGGACTTCAGCTCTAGTAATTCACGGTCCATGCTTGCGGCATTGCGCATAGAGGGACTCTCTCCTTTGACGAGATCTTCAAGTCTTGCACCGGCTTCAGCCAAGCGCGTTTCCAGAGTTTTCTTCTCTGTAAGTAGCATATCGCGCTCTGCGGTCACGTCATCAACTGAAGTACGCAGGGTCCGGACTTGTGATAGCAACGACACGACCTTGCTCTGAGCCTCGTTGTGCGCAGATACCGCCTCATCACGAGAGGTCGTCACATCTTGAAGCATAATGTCCATGCGGGCCTTCTCCTTTGCCCATGTTGAGCTGTTCAGAACCTCGTTGTCCCACTTGCTGCGAAGATCTTCGAGCTCCTCGCGCAGGCGGGCATTTTCACCGCGAACATTCAGCACCTTCTCACGCTCCATTTCAAGTTCGTTGTTGAGGGTTGTGAACTCGCGCTGATACTTCTGTCTGGTCTGCTCCATAGAGGTTTCCTTGTCCTCAATGTCAATGGCACGTTGGTTTCTGTAATCTTCAAGCTCGTTTTGGAGACGCTGCTTAGCCTGGAGGGCAGCTTGTAGCTCTGCCGCCTGATCCTCCATTCGCGCTTCGAGAGATTGTGTTTGGCGTTGCAGGTCTTCGACGAGAGCATCCATCTGTTTCCGCTCGGCCATGATCTGAGCGCAAGTATCCTCGGCCTCCTGGGCTTGGGTTTTGGCAAACTGCTCAGCCCGAGTGGCCTTGAGGACAGTGATCTCTGCCTGCTCAAGCTTGTTGAAATATTCATCCGCTCGGGACTTGTAGAGGCTCAGACTCGATGCAAGATCAGCGGTTTTTGAGGTCTCCGCATCAAGCCGGATTTGAAGATCAGAGAACTCTTCGAGAAGTTGGTTCCGGCTGATGGCATCCTGATCCCGTGCATCTTGCACCTCTTGGAACTCGGAGCGGGTGTCACGTAGCTCTACCTCCAATGTGGCCTTGGCGCGCTTGAGTTTCTCCAGTTGAGCCTTAGAGTCACCGAACTCTGCCATGGTTTCCTTGTGTACCTGAAGCAAGGCTCTCCTCGACTGCTCTTGCGAGTTGATCAGATCGTAGAGTTCTTCGTGGGACTTGGCTTGGATGTCGCGGAGCGAGAGCTCCCCCGTATGGATGCTCTTCTCCATTGCAGAGAGCTTCCTTGCTGAATCATCAAGCTGCTCATGCAGACGGCCATTTTCACGCTCAAGCAACTGCATTCGGCGTACAGAGTCATCCTGCCACATATCGCGGGCTGGGGATGCTTGGGAAAGCTGGTTCTGGAGATGCTTGTTCTGCATTTCGCTTATCTGGAGCTTGTTTTGAAGTTCCTCGATTTCTGCTGCCATGTCCATCCGCTTCTGATAGCCTACGGTGTCCACGGTCCTATCGGAGCGAGCGGAGTCTGCCATTTCGTTGAAGTTCAGTTTCCGGTTGGGAGTCGTGGGCGTGCCAAACTTCTTTGCAATGTTGTCGGAGTTCTTTCGGAGATGGGTTGGTGTACGATTTCCCGCAACCTGGTTCTGGTCGATCTCCTCGAGTAATGCCCGTTTCGAGGAGGCATATCGCGCGTCGAGCTCCTTCATCTCATCGCCATGACGACGGCGCATTTCCGCCAACTGGCTCTCGGCCCGACTATATTTCTCCTCGGTCACCTGCAGCCTGCTTCTGGTGGCTTCAAGTAATTGGGCCAGGTCGATCTTCTTAGAGAGGTCAGGCTGTACCTTTTCCCACGTTGAATCAGAAAGATCCGCTTCGGGTTCCACGACCTTGTGTAGCAGCATCAGCTGACGATGCAAATCTTCGATCTCCTTATTTGCACCGTCAAGAGAGTTCTGGAGTTGACGCGTGTTGGTCTGTGCCTGTGTGCGGAGTTGTCTTTCCGTCTCCAGGTTTCTGTTAGCTTCCGCGAGCTGAATTCCCGCTGTAGACGCGGCCTTCTCAGCGTTACGGCTGGCTTTATGCTCTCTGTTGACTTCGTGGTTCAAGTCCTCCAAGCTGAGAGAAAGCTTCTCCTTCTGCTTCTCCAGCGAGGTGATTGAGACGTGAAGATCGCCAAGCTGACGAGTAAGCTTCTTATTGTCTTCTTCCAACTTAGCCTTCTCCCTTTGAAGGTTGGTGATACGAAGCCGTTGGTTGTCACTTGCTCTTGAAGTTGACCTGGCTATGTCAAGATTCTTTTGCTGGATCTTGGTAAGGAGAGCACGATTATCATTTTCTGACGCTGTGAGTCTGCCCTTCAAGGTTACCAATTCTCGTTCGAGACGCTCCTTGGCTTGGTCATGGCGAATGCGGAAGTTGTCAGACTCAGCAATGGCGTTCATCAGCTCTTGTTCTCTGACGGCAAGTCGGGATCTTTCAGCCTCGAGCTCCTCTAATTGGTGAGACCGAGTATCGAGGTCTTTCTGGACACTCTGCAGACGTTCGGTAGCCTGCTTCATAATGTTGCGCTCAATGTCAGCTTCCGCATCCAATCGAGCAGTTTCGACCTTGGTAAAGCGGTCCCTAAGCTGGATCAGCTCAGTCTGCAGCTCCTTCCGCGACTCTTCAGCAGCAACGCGGGCCTCAGTGGCGCGACGCAGAGTGTCTTGCTGGATGTACATCTCTTTCTCAATGATGATCTTTGATTCATTGAGTGCGGTGTACTTATCCTTCAATTCTGCCAGGTTGTGCTCGGCGAGCATCTGGACATCATCCCGGGACTGCCTTTCCCGGCTCAGATCTGCTTGCGCCTTGAAAAGCTGTGCCTTAAGCTCCTGGATCTGCTGTTCAAGGAGCTTTCGACTCTCACCAGCTTCGGCGTCTTCAGAGATCTTCTCCTCTAACAGCTTCTTGACGTCAGCGGCTTCACGCTCAAGTTGAATCTTCTCAGACACCATAGCGTCACTTTCAGCTTGAAGCTCGCGCAGTCGTCGTTGCATATTATCATGGCGGGTTGAAAGCGTAGCCTTTTCGGATTCTAGCTGGCGCTTCTCATCCTCGTGCTTCTTCGCATCGTTACGAAGCACTGACATCTCGCTCTCTTTCCGACGAAGCATCTCTTCATACCCCGTTGATGTTGACGACAGCTCGGATATCTGCTGTCGGATAGTGCGATTCTCCTCGACGAGCTCCTTAATGTGTTTCTTGGACTGATCCAACTCCTTTGAGGTC